TATATTTTCATCTAGTTTTATTTCCCAATATTCAACAATTTGTTGAATTTAACGTTTCTACCTCATGATATGATTTTGTATGGATTGTCTATTGTTTATGCAACAAAAGTTTTCCATGTCTGAAATGCCTGTATTAATTTGTCTTCAAATGTATAAAAAAAATGATTTAAAGTTTTAAACCCTTAATATAAAGCATTTTAAAGCTATTCTTAGTTATCTAAATGCTATATGCTTTTATGGTATTTAAAATCACGAACCAAATAAATAAGGTCATTAAGTTATGACATCACTTTGACGTCACTGTAAAAATGCGGTGTAATCGGAAAATAATAAATATAAACAAACTTTACAGATTACTTAGTCCTCGCTATTTTAAAATCGTAAAAGGCAACAAATCAAGTGCAGGTGTTTAACGTGTTTGTGTTCAAATACAATTTCACAACGGGTTGAAACGTAAGCTTTGATTAATTAAATGAACACTTAAGTATTTAAAATCTTCACAATCTTCTGCGTAAATAAAATAAAACAAGCTTAGTCCGATGCGTTGAATCCCTTGCTATAAATCTATTTGGATTACATTCCCTTGAAAAGTTTAAGTCTTTATAATTAGTTTTTATTCCCTACTGGATGGCGGAGGGCTAAGGTGAATTTGATCGTGGTAAACAATTAACGCGTTAAACCCTTGGTAACTTACTGTTATGAAAAAGATGATATTCTTGTGAAAATCTTCACACAATTGAAACCCTAATAAACGTTGTGTAAACTATTGCCAAACTAATTGATTTTTTTTTTAGTTTTTTTAAACATACTCAAATCACTTGCTGTATAACACGTTAAGCACGTTTAACGTCAGTAGACGATTTTTAACCACCAAAACATTCCTGAGATTTTCACTGATAATGTAATTACAGTAGGTGATCGGTTAAGTTGGTTTCAATGGTTTTCAAATCAGATCGTAATTTTAAAAATCAATTATTTTCTCACATTATGTGACGTCAAATAAAGACATTTTCTAGAACACTCATTTTACCATTACTTTCACGCCACGTTGCGTCACTAGAGTGATTGCAAGCGTATGTTGGACGCTCAAACGGCAGTCAAATTTATTCATGGTCCGTGGTCTTCATTTTACAACCCCCTCTCCAATCTACTCTCATCATCCCCTTTCACCGCTTGTGTTTACCGTTTTAATCACACCGTTTTACAGCTTACCTTCCCCTCCCCGCTGAATGGCCTTTCTTACTTTGTTTGATGAATGGCTGCATTAAACACCTTCAGCTTTATAACCTTACTTATTAAAATTTGCTCGCAAAGCGGATTATTGAGCCCATAAAGTATCCTTTGATGTTTATTAAGCGAAGGTGATATTGGAAATCTAACAGATTATCTTGAATCTACCTCCGCGGTTGCGAGGTAAATAAAACGTTAATTGTCAGTAATTGCGTAGGGATATATTTTATATGTGTCTTTGTGAAGTTGTGGATTAATCACACTTTTAAACAGTTTTTTTTTTCGAGATTAGATTAAAAATGTTTAGAACATATTTTTGTCGAGATACTGTAAAATGTGTTACTACATTTATATTAAAGTGTTACGTTTAAAACAATATCAATAAAAATCAATTGGTAAAAAGTCCTTTTAGATTAAAATAAACTATATACTGTAACTGATAAAATAATACATTTACAAAACCCAGCTACAAATACCCTTAAGCTTACTCGGTGAAAACAACGAGCTCAGATTCCGTCGGTAACATAAAACGAGCTTTCGTGACGGCTATCTGTTGACAAATCTCTTTTATATTTAAATTACTCAAATCGTTTTCCAGCAATTTACAAATATGTAATAACTATTATTATCGGCGGGACACGCTACCTCGAACGTCAGTCTTGACGTTTTAGTTCGCGGTTGCTTTCAATTTTGTTGTCGGTCGTTTCTAGTTTTGATATATTAAATACTTTTGTATTGCATTATTAGTGCTTGATATTTAAAGGGGAAGAAATGAGTAATTGGGTAAGTTATTTTGCATTTTCGTTGGAAACTAACTAAAAAATATGCTCCAATCAATTTCCTAATGAACTAAACTCCACAACAAAAGAGGTTAGTTGACAAGCCAGTTATCGACCATGTTTTTTGCTGTCCACGCTATCACGGCAATTTTGTTCAAAGGGAAATCTAAATAGTGTTATAGTAATTCGGAATTTTCTAAATATTTATTATTTGCATTGCATTGTAGTCTATGGACTCAACGTCTTAAATTTGTTGAAACAAACCTAAATTTTTGAATAACAAGTACAGACGTTTATTTTCAAGAAGTATAAAGCGGTTTTACGTGGGAAGTAGGTTTGTGGCACGAGTAGCCCTGGTCGCATGTCTTATGGGATTTAAAGCTTTCTGCAACCTCTTACAACAGTTTACTGCCCTCCGACATGACAACGGAAGAATACTATTAATTGTGAACTACATGCTAGTGCAAAACAGCGAAAAGATGTTATTGCGAGTTGTAAGCGCCAACTTTGTTGAGAACTTTACGCACGGGGAATCGTTTGTTGGAAAGATCCACAAACTTGCAACAACTGTGCGTTGGCTATTTGAATTAAATTATATATGCTTACACTTTTTATATACAAGTATTTGTCTGGGTAAGTTCCCATTCTCGGGCTCTCGTTGCAACGCACGATGTTGTGTCTGGGTCGCCCCATAAACACCACACCGTGGCTTTTCCGAGTGCACTTTGTCCGGTATTCGCTTAAATGCTTTCGAAGGTTATTTTCAAGTGGTAGCGTATTTTACAATACAAATAGTTCATAGAAAGCAGAGATTTGATGAAAAATCCAAAGAAAGTTTTCTGATCGGACTAAGTGACGAGGAACTTTGTACTTAGACGAATTTGTATCGTTAGGTTTTTAAATTATAAATGAACGGTGCTTAAAAAAGAGTTAAAAAGGTTCAACACGCCGCGTAGGTGTACAACCTAACTGAAGGTCGTGTTAGCTGTGGAGGCTATATAACTCACGGCCTGGTTGAATGAAGAAGGATCATGCGAAGAGAACGTTACCCGACTAAAGTAAATTAAAAATCCCTTATCGACCGTTCCCGCCTTTGACTTTGTACACCAGGGAAATTTAAATTTCAAGGGTAGCCTTGTGATAAAGTAAATTGTGTTTTCAAATGAATAAATTATGCACTTCTGAAATAAATTAGTCTAAAGAAAGTTTTTGAGGTTTAAAAGTGTCCCATCTAATGTCTAACCATTAAATGCGTTGTTTCATATAATTAAATAAACAAAAATTTTTATGAAATCAATCAATTGTCTATTCGTAATGATTAATATTTAAGTATTCCTGTGTAGCTAATAACATTTCGTGAATATTTAAATGGAGCTTGGTGCCTGATTTGCATAAGTCCTTATTCGAGAATAAACCATTTCAATACAGCAGGGCTTTACGAAAATCATCCATTTCCAGCCCATTAAATCTTAATATGATGTTGTCTGACCTAAAAAATATTTAGCCAATCCAATACCATTTTTTCCCATTCCAAACAAATTAATTTCTCGTTTCCCTATCAGGAGTGCTACTATATACACTTTTTTTCTATTAATGAAAGAAACGTGTATGATTTTGTATTCTGTTTTTTTTCGTCAAACAGTTTATTTTAATTAGTTGTTTTACAATATAAAAAAACTAGATATATTTAACAAACATTTTATTATTTTAGATCAAATATATTTGTGCTGTTATTTTCCAAGTACAAGGGGTTTCCTTTGATTTTGCCAACTTACATTTTTGATGAGTACACATTTTTTACGTACGCATAAAATTACTTATTCGTCCCAACACCCTCCTATGTTTAACCTACATTTCTGAAAACCACCTTCTGACATTAGAACACCAAACAATTTCAAATTATTCTTAAAATTTTTATAATTTAAAACCCACGATGGATAGATAGTATATCGTATCCATCTATGTGTCACTCTTGTGCGTTAATCAATGCGGGTGAATAGACGTTGTCAGTTTTGTCCGGTTTATGTTGCTGATAGGTTTAGTTAATCAGTGTAATCGCCAGATGGCAGCAGTGATAGGCTGCTTATAATACTGTTCCAACACATACACACACACAGTTGGATGCATATTAGTAATTAGGATTGTAACAACCCCAGACGATTACCATAATTATCGGGACATTCCGCAATTGTGGGGGCTTAGTTAATGTTACACTTTTATAATGCAGATTCAATGTGCCCTGAGTGGCTTAGATATTGATCGCCTACCTTATGTAATTATATATAAAAAGAATAGCAAAAATGAATTGGAAGACTAAACTTAAAAGCAAAAATACTGACGAGTTTGTTAAAATACAATTCTGTTTACTTAATTATGTGAGGACACGAATTTCAAGCGAAATTGAGGAAAAGATTAGTGTTGAATTAAATGTACAAGCCTTATTATTACCAGGAACACCCATTTACAGACCCTTTTATTAATTCCCCCACATGATTTACTGTAGTACTGTAGTAGGGGCTAGGGTTAGTAATATCTAAATAATTTCGGGTTTGAATAACGTGTAACTAGTAGTCTATTAAACACTGTAATACCATTGTAGCCACAAGAAAAATTACGAAATTTAATTTCTTCCGTGTATCAAAGTTGGGTTTTAGCCTCGAATTCTTAACTGTAAAAACTGTCCCATTTAAGTTGCTACTTAAAACTAAATTAGAATAGAGAGGTAATCTCATAGCTTTATATTTCAATTATGTCAACGACAATCGGTTTTTAAAGCCCTAGAATTTTGCTAATTTCCCCTTTAAATTACCTGTAAAGAATCTAAACTAAATAATAACTTCTGTTTGACACTCGTTCACTTGTATGAACACTATATAGACAAACATAACCTTAAGAAAAAATGTATCAGCACTTTGAGATAGGACAGTACGATTCCCTTGGCACAGTAGGAGCTAATACCAAAATACTTTGTATAACCTAATGCGATTTCAGCTGTTAGAAAAGAGAATGTAGCCTTCTCGTCGCATCAGAGAAGTTTCAACCCCAAGTGTCACAACAAGATGGAAGAGAAACAGAACGAAGAGAATGTGCGGTGTTGAACAAGGAAAACCTATACGGGAGTGATGTGCGAAAACATGCCGCATCTGTCGATTTACGAAAACTTCAACAAAATCCTTAACCAACTATACACGAGTATTTTTCCTTACGATTCCGGCCGAATAAAACATATCTAAAATGTCAATAGAGTTTTGTTTTTATCGAAACCAGCATACGTGATCTCAATTCTTAAACATGAAGATTAAAAGACTGTCCTGTATATTCACTAAAACGCGGCACGACGTCCGGTGATACATGGAAGAATGTTGAACATATTAAATTATATTCTAAATGGTAGTGAGATATTAAAGATTATTTTCCTCCCCGAACCTAGGACAATTGAAACGTGTCGTGTGGACTTTTCGGTACGATGAAACACAAGTAAACGAGTATTTTGATGTTAGAGTTTTAATTTTCAAAGGTTGACGTCACTAACGAGCGTTTTCTCTGTTCCTCTTTTCCTGCCCAATTTTCCCGCCTTTCCAACATAGGTGGAGGTGTTTTTGGCGGGAAGTCGCACCATGCTGAGGCACGGTTGCCAACTGACTGGCTCCGTTTGTCTTCTGCTCCTGTTGACAACTTCGCACGTCTTCGCCAGCGGTAAGTCGTCTTTGTTCAGTTTAGATTAAGGATGCAAGCCTAGCGACAACCACAGCCGCTACCATCCTAGCAGTCTCGTAACTCCCTACTAATTAATAACATAAACCAATCAACGAATAGACCACATTGTGTTTCAACATTTCCCAAAATTTCAGTTGTACAACTGTTGTTAACGCTACTGTCATCCCTTGAAATAGACTCGTAAAAGATTCACTACTCTATTCCAACCAGTGATGGTAGATAGAAACTGGGTTGTCAATATAGGAAAGTTGGTTAATATTGAAACATTCTCCGCTGTCACTGCTGCAGTGGCAGTGTGGTAAATATACATTGTTCGTGACGCAGGGTAAATGGCTATTGGAAAATACTGCCGGACCGTGAGTGTAAACTGTGTTTACATTTCCATATGCTTTCGATTGACCTGTTTTCATTGTCGTTGGGCTAGCCAGTGGAAAATCGTCTGTAGCGGTGTTGAGTGAATGAGAATATTTTTTGTTATGTCCATTATTTGAATTTACATTAGTTAAGCGTACTCAACACTTTGAAATTTGCTTAAAATATAACGTATTTAGTTACTCTTTTCATTAGATGTATCTCATCTTGATAATTAATTGTAAAGGTTTTCGTTAGTGTTTTGACGGCATTGATTTCTAGAATTCTACGTAATTATCTTTTGCTATTGCACCAACAAATAAAACTAATATGATTTTTATTTTAACATTTTGCAAATTATTTTTGCTAGTTTAAAAATATAGTTCGCGAAAAGTAAGTTTTATCTTTAAATAACTGTTCAGTTATGTTAAAATTATGACTATTATGTACTTATTTTCGCACTATTTCTTAAGGTATATAAACTATTGAACATACAAAGTAGGTGTACAAATTGAAATATAATGTTAGCATGCTTGAACAATTATGTAGGTAAGGTCCGCATCGTTTTATTTTTATTTTACTATTAATTGTTCACACATTGTTTCTCACTTTGAAAAATTGTTACAATAAATTATGACTCCCCTATTCTTTTCCGGAGAACGTGTTAAACTGATTGTTGCAAAAAGGCGTTGATATCAGCAGAGGTTTTATGGAGGGGAGAGTCCCCAAGAGGCCCGTAGAACATAAATCTGCTGAATGGTAGCGGCCTGTTTGTTGTTGTTAGGCCTGGTGGCTTCGTCGCTGAAGAATGGGGTGCCTCAGGGCTGCACACTCGGCCCTTTCCTCTTCTTGCTGTCGACAATCGCTGGATTATTCACTTCCGATCTTCTTTGACTACAGTCGTGTGTATAGCAGCGTCGTTATCGTGTGAATAGTATTTACAAATATGGGATAGACTTAGGGTTAAAAAATTTGTTTCATTCCGGTAGAATTATGATTTTTTTTTTTCATTATAATACGTTAAAACAAAAACAGTTTCTTTTAGTGACCTAAGTTAACCGTGGAACTAACCTATTTTATAACTGTCGTTGATATAGCTTTGAGGATCTATGGTGAATACTGATTAGATTTCGTCTCCAATAAACCAGTTTATATTATTGATTGACTCTCAATACAAGTGTTACTTCAATTGATAAATATCATACATACTCATCAGTGCAGGAATGAAAGGCGAAATTAATTAATTATTTTGGTGTTGTTTAGGTTACTTTTAGAGCATTCTGATGCTAGATTTTTTATAAAACTTAATTTATTTTATATATGTTATGATCTGGCTTCATGAGTTTATTTTATTAACTAATATCAGTGGTTTAAAATAAGTCAGGAGTTTCGACTAACTATGATTATGTTGGTTAATATATGCTTATACGATACAAAACATCATCCATTAATTTTGTATCCAACAGATTTTAGATCAACTCAAGTATTATGTTCCTTAAGAAAAATATTAAAAGTTTGCAATCTTTATTGTTGTCAAATTGAGCTTTAGTAGTCTCAATGCTTAAAACCACATACTTCGTACATATCAGCGTGTTTTAGTCGGCTATGATCCCTTACTCTCTGATCCCAACGTTGGGTTAGAATGTTAAACTAAGCTCAGGACACTCGGTCTCTAAAGTTTGACCCTCGGTGAAACTCTGCATAATGTGACGTTTGAGGCATCAGGAAAACTATCAGGGAAAACAAAAGTTTTCTTAGTGGAATGTTTGCACACTATATATATTTTTAAACAATATAAATGGAAAAGTTGGTAAACCTCCACACATTCTGAGAAATTGTATAGAACAGTTTTTATACCATCCATAAAGTCGATCTCAATTCAATGTTATTTAATTTGTTTAAGTATAACACTAATATTCAACAAAACTATACTATATATTTTGGCTACGATTACTTTAGGCGTTTAGGTGCAAAAGATTGTCATTTAAGATACGGTTGGATACAAGTTACCAACCAGCTTATAAGCCTATATTCAAACAAAGGTTGCGAAATACTTAGTACGTCAACTAAAAATAGAATTTATTCGTAAAAAGGTTTAGAGAATGAATAGTATGAATAGTAGAGTCCAATAAAAATAACGCACAAATTACTATCTAAAGTATTGTTTTTATTTGTAGTATTTGTTTAAATCTATGCATCTGAAAATATTAAAAGGCCTACAATTTTAGAAAATTTGATCATATTCACGTGCGTTTTCATGAGGTATTCTATGCCACAGCTGTAAATTTGGTAATTTTTACAAATTTTGTGAGTGTTTCAGAAGTTAAGGTCGACAATCAATAAAAAATATGATTGATTTGTGTTATATATATTTATACATTCTTAGATTTGTCACAGTTTCGTTGAAACATTATATCATATAATTATTTCATCCCAATGCGACGGCTTTATATAAAAGTTGAAGACAGCGAGTTGAAGATTTAAACATGACTGGTTTTGATCAGGTGACGACGCTTCGACAAGCAATCCCTATCAAATCCCGTACAATCACCGTTCAACATGATCAAATCCGGCCTCTCGCTTTCGTTCCACCTTTATTGTACATCACTTTGGAAGCAGAATCCTATTACAATTACTTACTCATTGTTTATTTCACCGAATCTCCAAAAGCAGTAGAAAGTGATTTTGAATCTACTTGAGATTTTGTCGATTTGATATTAATCAAATTACTACAAAGAGGATGGTATAAAATAAAACTAAATATATTGTTGAAGGTTGTGTTACCTATAATACATTTTATTTTATTGTAGGTAAAACCAGACTATAAATTTAATGTTGTTAAATGGTTGTACGTCTACTATTGTGGAGGGAGATTTTACAAAAGTGAAGTTAATGCACGGCGTGCGTGGCTTGCAAGTTAACAGCAGGCAAACCTTCTCACTCTTCTGGAACGGGAAAAGATAATGCCTTTTTGTTTCAAGTCCTTACAATGTTTGTATTTTATATGTGCAATAAGTTATTTAGTAGCTATCCATAAATATCAATATGACTTTATTAAATTAATTAAGTTATACTACATTGTATTGTTTATATCACTGTTTAAGGATGGATATTCAATTGAAAACAATTTAATCTTTAAATATATTTGGTCACCTACTCAATAGTATTTCCAGCTTAACAACAAATCCTTGTCCTTTTATACAAAAGTTGTAAAAGCTCTGTCACTCAAACGAATTAGTTTCAGTTAAGCTCTTTTTAATTCTAATGACATACCAAACAGAGACAGTTATTCTACAACTTATTTATCTGATTTAATATATTGCCGCATTTTACAAATAGGCTTATCATACATTGTTCAGATTAAAAACTGGACTTACTTCCTAAAGAACTAGTGTCTAATTAAAGTTGCGGACTGATATTTTCTCTTGTTGAATTTTGAGTTGTACTTTCTAACCTACTGTGGTGGCCAACAAGCAACTACAATTCCACTATAGTGGCAAGTTTAGGATGAAACGTTATTGGTCGAGTTGGGGTTACAAAGTTTCACTCGGGCTGACCAAAGTTTCCTCTTATCGCTTGAGATATCAGCAGTGGAGGGGAATACTCGGTTGTAGAATTATTTACCTGAGGTCTTAAGTAACAAGACAGGAAACGTAATCCCTTCCTTAAACAGTATTTCAAAGGTTAAAGTGGCGTTTAGTGCAAAGTACAGTGTTGTGTAGATGAGAAGGTGTCTCAGTTGGTAGCGCGATTGATTTCGGAACCTAGTAGAGATGTTGTGGGTTCGAATATTGTTAACTGTCTCTATAACATTTAGCAGTAGAGTTCAACTCATGTGCTGTACTGTAACAGCGCATCCCTTTGCTGGATACGCTCCACGCCTGACCTGTAATCGGGTACATGTAAGGTTAACAGCCGTCAACCTCTACTACTTTTCAAAAAGCTTTAATATGCTTTGCGTTATATACCTACTCGATAAGGATAATGCCAATTCGTCAGCAGCTTTTGATTGTTCAAATCTATGACGGATCATACGGATTCAGTTGAAAACGGTCCTTGATTTATAGTGTTGAAGAATCAGCTTATCTTGAACAATAGCCAAGCAACCTTGGTGAACTACTATAGGCTGCTTGAGCTACACGTATAGGCACAGACCTTTTGTCTATGGTGTAGTGATGGAGATTTCGCTTTAATTCTTGGCTTAAAATGCGAGTCACTACATCGCTATTTCCATTTCAAAGATATCTAATTAATTTTAGAATTCACAGCTAATTTCATTCAGTCAGTTTAGAAATACATAGACGCAGGTAACACAGACTGTACGGAGGTAAATTAATTAAATACGTTGTCTACGCCTCATAATAGAGTTCACTTTCTACCAACAGGTGTTTTGTGATACATCGAACTAATAATGTATACAATTCCATTAACTAGCTCTTCTGTGATAGGACCCTTATTATTTCATATACTTATTAATGATCTAAATTGTATTAAATTAATAGCAACATGGTAAGCGAAAACTGTATTATGTTGCTATTTTCGCTTATAATACATTCGTCTAAACAGAATACAGCGAAGGGCCAATATAACATCTGAGAGATTTTTTTAATCACTACTTTTCAACAATT